GGGAGGGCCACTGGCCACTGCGAGGGGTCCGGGAAGTTCTCGCCGGTCGCTTCTGTCTTCTGGATGAATTAAATGAGTGGCTGGGGTCTGGGGGAGCTGGCAGAGGGACAGTGGGTGGAGAGGTGGCTGGAGCAAGGACCCCGGAGGCCAGGGGTCATGAGTGTGTCCTGGGGCAGCTGAGGGCACATGTAGGGCAGTGAGCACCCCCAGGAAGGAGGAAGGAGAGTGGGGAGACGACAGTGAAATGGGGCGGTGGGGGTCCCAGCAGTGAAGACACAAGGGGCCAGGCCTGGACCGCAGACGGCAGGAGAACGCTGCAGTCGTTGGGCTTCTTACCTGCACAGCAGCTCAGGTGCCTTTTAGAAGCTGTGGGAGACAGTTGGGCAGAAACGGAATGTCCCCAGTTATCCGGTCCCAAACACGGCCTTAGCCGACGCTGGTCCTGGGTCCTCTCACTCTGCAGTCCTGCCTTGGGGTGGCTGCTGCGCCCCTCAAGGTGCGTGATTCCTGATCGACTCTTCCTGTTTGCTTCAATTCTCCAGGTGTGTGTAGAGCAGCGACCATGCTGGGCGGGCACCTGAGACCCAGCCCCTGCTCTGAGGAGCCCCGAGGTGGAGCCGTCAGCAGGCACACACGCGTGCACACACTTGGACACGCACATGCTCGCACCCATGCGTGCACATGCTCGCACCCATGCGTGCACACCCTCGCTCACCTGTGCACACTCGTGCGCTCTTTCACACACAGGTGCAGGGCGGGAGCAGGCCGTCGGGCCAGACTAGGGAGGGAGGGCGCTTGCTGGGGTGGCTCAGACCTGAGCCCTGGCCCAGCCTCAGCCCACCTGCCCGGCTCTCTGCCTGGACTCTGGACGCAAGAGATGCCCAACATCCTGACTTCACGGATCGGAAAACAGACGCAGAGCAGACTGCACAGCCTGTAGTCTCAGGAATTTTTAAAGGACTGGCCCTTGATTCTTGGTTCTTCCTGGGAGCCCGTCCAGGGACTGGGCCGATGACCAGGGCTCCTTTGTAGGCCCGGCTGATTTGGGGGTACAGAAGCGTGAGCGTCCACGAGTCCCGATGTCACCACCAGGGGGTGGTATTGGCCAGCAGTAAGTCGGCGCCTGGGTCCCCAGCCTGGAAATGGATCCTGCTGCCCTCTGGGCTGTCTGGCCCGGTCCCTGAGATCCCAGGGATGCCGAGTTCCTGCCCCAGCCTGGGTGGGTCCTGTGCACCTGGAAGCCCTCAGTTTCCTTAATCGTTTCGTCACCAGAAGATCTGTGGGTTGGTTCAGTCTTGTCTCTCCGTGGCTCGTTTTCTCCAGTTGTGAAGGTTCAGATAAAACGCACAACAAGCGCACCAGGGATGTACCAGGGGGGTCCTTACACCCAAGGGGTGTCACACCCATGCACCTGGGTGAGGGCCCACACCTGGGCCGGGGTGGGCAAGTCCTGCCTGGAGTCACTGGCAGTGAGGGGCACGTCTAGTAGCAGGAATTTCTCGGATTGATTTGAGACCCGCCACCGTGTGCTTTGGCCGCCGTCTCTCCAGCGCGGGACGGGCGGCAGCCTGTGGACGGGGACCTGAGCGGGGAGCAGAGGGAGTGAATGTGGCTTTTGCTGGCCCCAAGCTTCCCACCCTCCCAGCTCACACCCTTCGTACAACTTTGGTTTTGCTCTGACTTCAAAATGAACAGGCTAAACTGAAATAATTATTTAAAGCTGTTTTTAACCAAAAATGTGTTACTCGTCGTGCGCATCGGCGGAGGGTGAGGCCGGCGTGACATGGCTCTGATTTTCCCAGAATGTTTAATTTTTGGCATTTTTTTCCTTAGCTTCACTTAATGTCTTTTTTTTTTTTTCTTTTTTAGGCTGGTCAAGTGAAGCAGTGGGAGTGGTGAAGGAACAGAGGAATCTGTAGCTTGTTGTGATCAGTTAGTTGTAGACACCACTGCACTCGGACCAGCCCATGTAATGTCTGTTAAGGAGATGCCATTCTGTAGATGACAGCAAAGAGCAAAATCCACCGCGAGGGCCCCGGGTTAAGGTCTTTTACATGCGATTTATTTGAGGGAAAGGGTCTGTGGCCGACAGGCCTGTACAACCACTGAGCCCCGCTCTCCAGTTTCGGGGGTGGCCAGAGGAGGAGGCTCCCAGTGTGTCAGTGCGGTTCAAACCTTTAGAATTACGGACTCTCTCAAATTCCTCCAACCCTTAAGCATGAACCCTAAATCAGTTACGGTGCCCTGCAAGGAGACAGGAGAGGGCAGGAGGGGGGCCACACTCTCGTCCCCATCCTGCATCTGCTGAAGCCAGGGAGCCCCACCCGGGTCATGGGCCACACCTGCTGCTGCAGCCTTGTGGATGGGGACACACAGGGGCCTGGAAGCCGCTGCCAACCAACAGGCTTGGATTTGCACTCACCCCACGGCCTTGACCCGTGTGTGATGTGCGGAAGGTGAGAAGGGAGAGTCTGAGGGAACGTGTGCCCCTGGGGGTTTCCAAGGTCAGGAGCCTGGGATACTGGGGGATGTTCCAGTTGCCTCAATCCGGAAGCACCGAGAATCCCGGGTGTCTCAGGAAAAAGGCAGCAGTGGAGGGAAGGAGGCGGGGGCCTTCACAGGCCTTTCTGAGCTGGATCAGGCCAAGGAGGTCAGCAGGGCTTGGGCTGTCCGGGGACAGCGTTTCCAAAGGTCTGGGCTTGGGGCAGGGCCTCCTGACCACCCTTCTTCCCTGGCCTTCCTCTGGCTTCTCAACCTGGGAGACACGAGCCCGCCCCCCC